ATTATCTGATCAGATAAAATGGCCCTGAGAAATCCTATGTTCAAAAGAGCCAAAGAGCCAAAAATGTCAATATATCGAAAATTAAATTTAAATATTTCAATACATATTATACATCGTTAGAATCGTAATTAGGTCAGCTATCTGAATGTGTAACTTTTTTGTAAAAATTTGTTTAAATAATAAAGTAATAGAGCATTTTTCAAAATTTCACGATTTTTCAACTTTTTTCGATTTTCAGTACGTTATTTTACCTATTCCAGACATTTCAATGTCTTATTAGATGGATTCATGCACAAGACTACCGGAGGGACTCTCGATAGGGAAAGTTTAAGAAAAATCCCTGGAGCAGTTTTCGAGATACAAGCGTCCAAAACCGCTCCAAATCAGAAAATACTTGATTTTCAGCATGTCATATTTTGCTGCTTGGTCATACTATTTGTATAAATTGGTTATCATACGACAGTCCATTTCTCGGGCCACTCAACGAAATCCTTTTTCGTTTAATCCATTGATACTGGACGGAGAAATCGAGTTTTTCCCCAAAACACACATTTTTTCGACTACTTCCGGTTTCGGGATAGTTGTTGAAATTGCTTTATGCAGCGGTCTGACTATATAGCTTTATGTTCCAGGACTTTCAGAACTATCGATTTATCCTTTCCAAAAAATATAAGGGTTGGGAAATGGGCAGGAAATTCGAAAAAAATCGAAAAATAAAGTGCTATTACTCGGAATGAAACTTATATTTCTGGAATCGGATAGTCTTCAGGTATTCAAAAATGTAGGTCAAATTTGAAAATTTTGAAAAATAACGAAAATTGTCTCGTAAACAACGTATTTTCAAAATTCGAAGGACAAAAGCCATAGATGAATGTTGAAAAATGTGAGATTATCTCGGAAAAGATTCGCGGTTTCAGAAAATGTCATTTGTTTGAAAATAGGTAAAGAATTGACGAAACCACGGCCGATTTTCAATTCCGGAAAAAAGTACAAAATTCGGTTACTTCCAGTATGCGCAGAAGTTTCAAAATTGTTTTATCAAGTAGCCCACCACATGGTTTCCCAATAGAAAATTTGGTTCCAGATCGATATCTGTTTTCGATCATGGAGAAATAGGCTCCCGCGGAAACAAAATAATAATAATTTTAGTAAAAACAATAGTCTTTCAGACGAAAGTCTGAAAGCCTAACTAGATCTGCTACTGTCCCATGCAGATATGAAAGCTTTCATATTCATCGTCACGTGACATGGATTATATCAAGTATCTTAAAAGAAAAAAGAACAACAAAAAATAATTATCAAAATCGGTGAAAAAGTCGCGAAGTTACCAGTCTAAATATAGTGAGAAACATTGCACCCGGGCAACAAAATAATCTGAAAACTAAAGGGAAATAACTGAGAGTTGGATTGCTGTAATCGGAATGACTTTCCGTTCCAGAAGTTTCAGAAAAATGGATCAAGCCGTTTAAAAATGGGACGGATGAGAACATGAAACGAAAATGGCGGGAAAGAATTAAAAAGGGGCAGGAAAATATCAAAAAAATAAATGAAATAACTTTAAACGGAACTAACATTGTTTGAATAAGACTGACCTTAGCTGTTCGAATATTTAGGTTAAATTTGTAAATTTTGAAAATTAAAGGCATAAATTGTCCTGTTAACAACTTTGTCGGCACGTAAAAGGTGAAAGGCGAAATACGAAATTTTGAAAATTTTCAAACACCAAAAAATCGATCTTGATCTCGAGCTATCCTGAAATGCATTAATTTCAGAAATAAGAGACGCATTGAACATATTACAGCCTATTGTGGTTTATTTTCACGTCTGTTCAAGTGGATTTTTCACTGTTCTTCATATTCAATTCCAAATGGAGACCATCAGTTGACCGAAAATCTTTTTTTTTTTTTGCTAAAACTCTTTTTTTTTTAATCTGATGAAAATGGGAGTAAGGCACAAGGTCCAGGGTGGCAATGGGCGTATTGTGTCCAAATTTCATGGTTTTTGGACAATCGGTGCCGGTGTCGTGGCGATATTCCACTTTTTTCGCACTTACTGAAGCCGTAAATGGCGGAAAAAGCCGAACGACAGGAACCATGTGAAGAACAAACGACATGAACGAATGCAGGTATTGCCTTGAATTTTTCAGGGAACCTAGGTACCAACGTGAAAAGTTCCTCGCCGGAATTTGGTAGTCATGGTACCTTTGGTTCCAGCATGGCGCATGCGCGACAGGGGTTGATTTGCTCTGCCCAGGCAACGTTCCGTTTGTCCGATTGCCTTCAAATTTGCACGGAATGTACCAAGGGATTCTAGCTATCACATATTAAAAATAGAAGAAAGTGGAATTCTGAGAACGTTGAAAATAAATTCGAAACCCACCCCCACCCATCAAAGTTTTTTTGCTTAAAAAAATTGCCGTATTTTATCGAATTTTTATTGTTCTTGATATCTGAGGATTTTCTCCTTTTAATATGTGATAAATATCGCGGTGGAGCCACCCGCTAGAAATTCCAGAGATTTGGACCACCGGAAAGATGCCTCAGCAGTCAAAAAAGGTCAAAATAGGCGATTTCGTTTTTTTCGATACATCGTTGCGGTCATTTCAAAAAATTGTATTTTAAGGATAATGTGTATAGTACTAATACCTATCACATACGGAAGAGGCGATAAAATCTCTTTGCATTTGCAATATCAAAATTAATTAAAACCAATATTAAATTCCGAAAATCGTTTTTTGCTAAAACTCTTTTTTTTTAATGGGATCAAAATGGGGTAAAGCACAGAGTCCGGGGTGGTAATGGGCGTATTGTGTCCAAATTTTATGGTTTTCGGACAATCGGTGCCGGTGTCTTGGCGAAATTCCACTTTTTTCCCCTTATGGAAGCCGTAAAGAGCAGGTGACCTGGGTGCCAAGAACAAACGACTTGAACGAATGCAGGTATCACCTTGAAATTTTCAGGGTATCTAGGTACCAACGTGAAAAGTTCCTCGCCGGAATTTGATACTCATGGTACCTTTGGTTCCAGCGTAGCGCATGCGTGAAGTCAAAACCAGCTAAACTCAAAGCAACCTTGTCGGCACGGAAAACATCAAAGGCGAAATTCGAATTTTTGAAATATTCAAATACCAAACATTCAACCATGAGCCAGGCTATTCTGAAATGTATTAATTACGGTAATAGGAGACAGATTCTTTAAGCCACGACCAATTGTGGATGTTTTCAAGCCCATTAATGTGGATTTTTCATTATTTTTCATTTTCAATTCAAAATGGCGTCCATCATTTGCCAGAAATCAAAATTTTAATTCCAATATATGGGCTTTTCTTCAAGGATTCATAAAAATATAATTCCCTTGTCTGTAAGTAAAATATCAAAAAAGCCTTAGCGACATTTCACATTACAAGATGGTGGCACTTCCGGAATGGGCTGCAAACTCCATTTTCTGTGAACGAATCATTAATTTCTCCAAGGGGAGATAAGTTAGGTTTTTTTTAATGGTATCGTTGAAGTTGGGTCAATGAGATCTACATACATTCCAAATTTCATGAAAATCGTACCAATATTAAAGAAGTTGTCAATTCTGTTTTACTTCCGGGACGAAATGTCAAAAATCGGAAATAGCAGATTTGAAGTAAATATTTCAAGGTACTCAAAGAAAAAAGAATTAGTAAAATATTTCACATAGTCACAGAGTTATTGGTATGTAGGTCAATTTCTTCATTCGTAAAATTCGGTGATTTCGGATTCTTAAAACGTTTTGAAAATATATTTAATCAAAAGCTGCCACCCAATTTTTTGGGGGGTAGGTCAAAGTTTCAGAAAGATCCTATGGTTAGATTCTGAGAAATCCGATTTGCAGAAAGTACACAAAAAAAAATAATAATAATAATAATCTTAACAAAAACAATAAGCTTTCATATGAAATATGAAAGCTTAATAATCTTAACAAAAACAATAGTGTTTCACACAAGCTACGCAGTGTGAAACCCTAATTAACTATGCCAATTTTGCAGTTTATGTATACAATAGTGACTTTGCCAGAGGCTGTGGAAATCCTGAAAATAAAAGTGAATAGCTTATTTGTTCCACATTTTGCCACCTGGTGGCGCGAACAGTATACATTGGACAATGAGTGTGATGCTAAATTCATAATCTTCACCAAAAGTTGTCTTAGATTACAAAGTTAGAGAGTCCTACTCCTATTAGAAATGTGAGTTTAAATCATCCGAAACCGGGAAAAAAATACTGAATTTATGATCCGTTTTAGTACCCTAATTTCAAATGGCCATAACTCAGCGCGTTTCCAACCTAGAGAGGCAAAATTTCGGATTTCTTAGTTTAAGGCCATATACTATAACATTATTTTTTATAATTTTTTTGGAGGGGGTCATGTACCCACCATTGGTCCAGTTGACATGGAATGACCCAGACTGAGTTCTGTTTTGAACATTTTCTGCTTAGGTTAAGCAGAGACACATGTAAGCAGTTTGTTTTGGAAGACAAAATCTTTGATTCTAATGGGGTGAGAGTGATGAAACTTGATTTATTGTTTCGTTACAGTACCTATCATACCCTGAATAACTTTGATACCAAGCACTTTATGTGCATGTTAAGCTGGTTGATAATTATTTGATTGGTTGAGACTTTGAAACATGATATCTGACATATACCAAGACTCGACATTAATGATTTCCCGAGTCAATGAAAACTCTAATTTTGAGAAAGTGGTTTTTCTTTCCTACAATGTACCTGTCTGATTGTTGTCGACAAAGTCAAAGAGTGAACATAGAGCCCTTTATACACGGTATATCAAGACTCAGTTGACTTCAATTCCAAATGTTCAATGCAGCTTAGTAGAAATTAAGAGGGTTTGTTGTTTTGTAGAGCAGTTATCCTGCATTGATAACATATTTAGAATGCTGTATTATAGTTCTGGACTAGAGAAGTGTAAAATTGCCAGAAAGTTGATTTGTATTTTGTTTTATTTGCAATTGTTTAGTGAGTGGCTGGAGTTACAGATTTCCAGAGCCCGGCCAAGGCCCACCCTGTGAACTTCTTGATTTAACAGCTAAAATTGAAGTCAGACAGTTTCAAGATGAAAGGCAAATAGTATGTGATTTAGTATATCTAATTGTTGTCCCCCGCCTTTTGAAGAAAGCAGGGGACTATTAAAATGGGTCTGTCAATCTGTCTGTCACACTTTTTGGGACACAATAACTCTCCTAATTGAGCTAGAATGTTCAAACTTGGTGTAGGTGTTTATTAGGTGCATGCCTTTTCTGTTTCCGGTAAGCAGGGATAAACAATTTGATTGGTTGATGCTTTGGGACACGATAACTTTAGTTCTAATTAAGTGAGAGTGATGAAACTTGGTGTATAGTTTCATTACATCATACCTTGACTAAGTTAGATAATGAGCATTTTCTGCTCAGGGTATGCAGAGCGATAAGCAATTTGATTGGTGGAGACTTTGGAACACAATAACTCTCCTTCTAATTGAGGTAGAATGTTCAAACTTGGTGTAGGTGACTATTAGGTGAATGCCTTGACAGAGTTCGATCATGCGCATTTTCGAACAACACGAATGTTTGATGAAAAATGATTATTGTGTCGTTTTTTGTTGAAAATTGCCACGATAAATAACTCGGTGTAGCAGTCGCTATCATGTGCCACAATAGTCGTTTGACACGATAAGCCTGCTCAATGTAATATTACATATAAAATTAATGGTATTTATTTGTCATAAACAATCGATGTCAAAACGATATACTGCCACGATGTTATGAATGTTGAATATTTTCGTTAATAATATGGACGCTTTAGTTCACATTGTATAGTGAGAACACGCGTTTTCACATATTCTGCACGATATATATGCGGTTATATTATTATTACGGTGGAATGAGAATCCGGTCAGACAGAAACTGAGAAAGCCCTCATCGTCCTCCTAGTTCTACTCCCGGGCCGTGTCAAATTCCAATGATGAAAAATGCCGTAGCAGAATTGAACTGTTTGGTTTGCGCTGGCTTTTACCATGGCTTTGCCGTTTGCCATGTTAAATTTCGAGCGCCGAGTTTGTGTACAGAGAAGGACGAAGGGCTTTAAATACGACTGTGCGGCTTACTTCGATTTTTTCTTTGTGCTGGGCGGCAAAAATAGTGCTGGGCGCAAGTGCCCGGCACCGCCCGGTGTGGGCACATCCCTGAGTGTTCCATATATGCACTCAAAGCCATTGAAAACGCAATGCCAAATTCAAATTTATTTACTGCAATAACTTTTAACAAATGTACATAACAATTGACAAAATCGAGATAACAAGCATCTGTGGATAATTTCATGAAAGAATTACTACAGATGCACTGAACCGAAACGTGAGAGAACCATGAAACAAAGCAGGGTTCAGCTGAAGTCAATATCGGGTATGTCCACCCGAGCTCTTACACATCAAGAAGAGGATACAATTATCAATCATGATGGAAACAAGACATACAGAATATAACAATAAAAATTTGTCTACTAAATGCAGCCATTTTGCTCGGCGAAAACAGATGAGATAACGATAGTTGAAGTTGTCGAGGTACAGTTCCTCCCAAATGTTTAGGACCGAAATCTCTAAGATTTCACGGTGAAATTTCGCTTGATTCCGCGGCGATTTTTCTCTAAGATTCGCTAGGAATTCACCATGTTTCTCTAGGAATACATCGTGTTTTGCCGTGCTTCCCGCACGGAATTCGCGAGCCTACCTTAAGCTAGGGTTGAACTAATATTGTCTATAATAAATTGAAGGAGTTGTAATATAGTAATGCTCTCGGGAAACGTGTACATGTATAATGTACAGGCCGGTTTGAATAACAAATGAGTTAGGTAATCTCATCAAGACATTTACCGGCATTCTGTATCGGTTAGGATTTTTTTCCCAACGCACTGTATACATACATAACGCCGGCCTAAATGTATGCCAGAATGAAGGTACAGTAAATCACTCCGCGGGTCGCTTAACGGTATGTCACATGGTCAGAAACGTGCCAAAAGATGGGACTACATGTTTATTCTTACGCTGTGTTACTCGGCGAATAATATCCGCTGTGACAATATACATCTACTTTATGTCACCCAATTCATTTCGGTGGGAACAGATATTGAATAAAGCCATTTCACACACACATACGTGTACATAACATGCGCATGTCATATATTTATATGGGGGGTTGGATGGCCGAATGGTTAGCACGCGTGCGCTGCATCATAAAGCCTATCATTGAGTCAACTGGCATGGTTTCGAATCCCCGGTTGTACGTGACAAGGAGTAGGGTCGCCTGTCCAACCTCGTGGGTTTTCTCCGGGTCCTCCGGTTTCCTCCCACCGCTAAAGACCCCTACGCGCAAGCGAATTATTGAAATAAAATTAAAAACCATATGTTAGTCCCGAAATGACCTAGTTTGTGTCGAGTGGATGTTAAACCCCATTTCTCTCTCTCTCTCTCTCTCTCTCTCTCTCTCATATATTTATACAATATCCAGGAGTGTGTTAATATTGGTCTTCACCCCGTTATAATTTACTTATTTTGAGTACACTTTCTGAATTTCATTCTTTTGTACGTCCAACTTTTCGATTTCCTACTGCATATACATGTACCCTGTGTAGCTGCAATCTATAAGCTTATACATACAAGTATGTTTGCATTTAAAATCTAGATATCAGAAGCTCGAAAGTTATACTAGACGGTGAATACGCAAGTTTCGTGGTTGAACCTGCATCGATATTGCATAATATCGGACCCATATTTATCTTTGCTACTCGGACAAACCCAAAGAACCACTCGGACCAATTAAATTACATTATAAGGCTTAACATATTCATTTTAAAAATATAATACAGACAATATGTTATTTATAATTAAATCACAATACAAAGAGGCGAATAATTTATAGATGAGTATATTCATAGCTTAAAGGACAATATTGGTGCCAGTCATTATCACATATGTGATAGAGCTGGTTAAACACATTCCAAATATAATTTTAACACAGAGATCATATTAAGTACATATTAGCAAATATTTATCTTTATTACATCAACAATTTAATTGTTTTTCTTTGATGTGCTTCATGATGAAACATACCACGGGTAAGTACATAAACGCTTTATTATTTCAAAGAAAGCAGATGCATATTAAAACAAACACAATTATCAATTATTAAAACAACAATTAAAACAAATAGTGTATCAATTGTAGCCGCAATTAAGAATTGAAAAGGGATGTTTTCTTAGGGAGCCAGACTTTGTTTTTGTAGAAAAGAGCCTGCTTAACATTAGTATTGTATCTGATGATTACATTGTATTAACCACCTGAATGGGTCAAATTTAAAGAATGAAATGGCTTCCTGTAGATTTGTCGAAAGCCTTTGTCTGTTAACTTGGTGGTTGAGAAGTATTAGCGTTTGTTCTCAAAATAAGTAAATAATAACGGGGTGAAGGTGAGAATTAACACACGTGTGGCCATTGTATAAATATATGACATGCGCATGTATTGTACACGTCTGTGTGTTCGTGAAATAGCTTTATTTAATATCCGCTTCCACCGAAATGAAATGAGAGGCACAAAGTAGATGTATATTGTCACAGTGGATATTTGTCGTAAGAATATCCCTTGGTTGAATGCATTTAAATGTACAGTATTCTATTAAATAAATAGTTTTTTTTATTAAATAAAGGGAAGAACTTCCCACAAACCCAATCCATGGCCTAAGGCCGAAGATGGAAAGATTGCAAAATCATATTTTAAAAACAGGAAGCAGCTTCGGCTCTCCTATTTCTTGTCTGCGATATCACTTATGTGGAAGCAGACGTTAAACACCAGGATACTACTACTACTATGGATACGGAATTTGTAAAATAACAAATACATGGCGCTGTCACTTTTGTGACTTTGGCAGTGTACCCCCTCCCACCCATATTATTTTAATACGTCATAATACATTATTATCATATACCGGTGACAGTCAAGACTTGCTAAATACTTTTCGCCAAGTAACACAGCGTAAGAATATATAGTCCCCGTGTCGAACCCAACATCTCATGTTTTCGCGCGTTTCTGACCACATGACTTACGGTTAACCGCATTGCGGAGTGATTTACATGAATATAATTTAAAATTTGGATTTGATAGCAGCCAATAAGATGAAATGATACGTTTAAAAAATTGTAACTTATTCATTGTTTGCATACACGTACATTGTGGCACCATGTTATACATGTACAGTGTGTTAGAAATAAAACATACGACCGTAGCTGCTTCGCCAACGGTTAACATATCTTGTATTCAACTTAAATAAATTACATTTTTCGTCAACATGCCTACATCGGGATGATATCAGCACACAAGCGATTCACCGTGTTTCACCGCGAAACACCATAATTCACCGAGAAACACCCTATTTCGCGGTGATTTGGCTAGCTGCCGTTTCGCTAGCGATTCTCCAAGATTCCACCGTGAAATAGAGTGTTTTTCCGCGGTGTTCGCCGATTCTAGTCTCAAACTCCAGCACTGTAGTGTATTTTCATCAAGAAGAGGATATAATTATCATTCATGAAAACATGATTTACCGAATAATAATAATAATTCATTTGCTAAATGCAGCCATTTTGCTGCGCTGAAAGGCGATTCCTGTTCGCGAGGTTAGATGAGATAACGCTAGTCAGGGGACGAAATAACACGCGAGCGGTCGTTCAGGTTACGCATCGGTTACCATGACCCAGAAACACGTGAACGGACATCCATTCTCGTCCACCGAGCTATAATTTATAAACTGAAGGTTTCAGTTAAAATATTCCCCCCATTCCTACGTTAAAAACATTACAATCATAAATAAATACCTGAAAGATCCTTAAGTTCACACCTGTTATTTGGCAGTAGCGAATCAACTCGCGGACCCATCATACCTGGCAACGTGATTGGCGAACAAAAGCGCCAGATCAATCAACTGATTTCTATTGTTTTTATTTCTTAAATTAATGGTGGTTGAGTAATAAAAATAAAGCACCCATTGAAAAGGAATGTTATATTCGCAAATTATCAAATAAAAAACATACGTTTCAAGAAAGGATCT